GGACTGCAAATGTGTGGGCCCCGAATGACAGAGCCTCGGAGTCCTGGAAACAAACCTGCACCGCGAGGAAGAAGAAGCGGACAACTCCGCAATGGCGGCGGGTGATCTTAATGGCCCGCACCCAGCAGTTCATTCGTGAACGAGAAGAAACCCCCGTGAAAACACAGAAGGTCCTAACAACACTACCAATCACCGTGATGTCGCTGATAGTAGGAAACCGCACACCCAAACACGACCCCCAAATATCACACCAGAGAAGACACTTCACGCTGCGTCCAGACACAGCCCTCTGGCTACCCCAGAACACGGTGCCCCCACAACATCCAACAACGCACTCCAATTCTGCATCAAACGTTGCACCAAACACTACACCCAACAGCCACAAAAACACGCTTTTTTTCCCTCGTGGACAATGGTCCACCTACCAGGAAAGGACAGGTTGAGCCACGAAACACGTGGATCCAGCTGACGAGAATGTAAGCCTGACAGAACGCGTTCTCTGGCCACAGACCGTAGTCAGTAGTCATCATCATCGTCCCATCAGTTGTGCCTCCCTGCACCCCATGCCCAGCAGGACGGACAACGCCCGGGCCTGCGCTGTCCTTACGGTGTCGTCGTGCTCAAGCCCATGGTGACGGCCATCTGTCACTCCATCGCGTGGACGGTCTTTCTCTTTCCCGCTGACCCGCTCCTTTACCAGGCACGGTGCCCTTTTCCAGGGACTGGTCTCTCCTGACCACGTGTCCAAGGTACGTGAGACGAAGCCTCTCCACCCTCACTTCTAAGGAGTCTCTGGCGGTACTTCATCTAAGAGAGATGTGTTTGTCCTTCTGGTCGTTCGCGGTGCCCCCATCGTCTCACCAATGCTGTCACCCGAACACATCCATTCTTCTGAAGTCTGCACTCATATGCAAACGAAGCAGCCGAGAGCGTGGGAGCGGTGGCCGCCTCCTCTCCTTGGGAACTCGGCGAGGTTGTCCACAGGCCTGAGGGCCAGCTGTCCTGTGGGGAGCAGACAGGACGCCCTGACATGTGGGAGGTAGCCCGGCGCAGCAAGGTTCTTTGCTCCAGACAGAGCAGCCCAGGAGGAGTGACCTGCAGCCTTGGCTACTGAATGGAGGGGGGGAAAGGCAGGGCCCCAAGTCCCAGGCCCAGGATGGGCACTAGGAGGGGCAGGATGGCTGCTGTCTGGCTGAAGCCCGGCTTGGTTGGAGGGGGCAAGAAGTACTGTGGTGTAGACGTAGGGGAAACAGATGCCTTTGGATGTCAAGAGGCGATAGATGTGTGTAGACTCGGGAAAGAGAGTGTGCATGTGGGTGGCCCACCCTTGTCTGATAGGGTCATGCTGTGGGGCTGGCATGAGGTTATGACGCTGGGTGCTCGGGTGGGCAGGTCTCAGGGGAGCTTCCAGACCGAGGAAGACTAGGCAGAAAGGCCTGGCTGACTCCTCACAACTAACTCATGGAAACCAGGCGGGGAGGCGGGGGGTGGTTCTGCACCGGGCGGCTCATTTCCAGGTCAGCAGTTCAAAACCACCAGCCCCTGCTCCAGAGAAGGATGAGGCTATCTACTCCGTAAAGAGTCACAGTCTGGGGGGGGAGGGGGCAGCTCCGCCCTGTCCTAGAGGGTCGCTGAGAGTCGGCATTGACTCCACGGCAGGGAGTTCCAAGCCCAGGTCACCAAGAGCCACAGCTGAGATGGCTCCAGCGAGACCCCACCAGGACCTTGACCGACACAGGCACCCAGTGGGCCTGGCTCCGGGGCATCTGTTCTGGGGATGGGCTTCAGGCAAGAGCGGCTCTCAAGAGGTGTTGTCCCAAGGGAGAGTCAGTCTCACGAGGAAGGTCAGCCATTGGGAGGAGGGCCTGGCCAGGGGGCTCCAGAAACGCCCCCACCCTCGAAGGCCTAGACAGGGGCGCTGAGGCCTCTGGGGCAGACCACTCGCTGGGTGCAGGGCCCAGCAGCCAGCCTCTCAGCTGGGAGATCCTCCGCAGAGAAGCAGTGCAGAGTTAGTGCCGTTGCCTTGGCAACTGCTCTGTCCCTTTTCACGGAGGCTCTGTCCCAGGAGGCTGGTCTTAAAGGAGCAGGAAGTGTATTGATTTGCCGGCACCCTGGGGACCCAGGAAGCAGGCAATTCCTGTACACAGCTGGCTGGCTGGGTCCCACGCAGAAGATGGCTGGAAGGTTGTGTATATGGGGTGGGATGGGGGTGTCTGTCCACCAGCCCTGGTAGCTCAGCTGGGATTCCTGGCGCCGGAGGCAGGCAGACCCCGGGCAGCTTCACACCACCCTGAGATTCGCCATGGTTTTCTGGAGGGGACAGCGGTCTGGGCATGCAGCAGAGGCTGGACCTGCCAGCTGAAGGGGTCGACCTGACTGGATTTGAACTGCTGTCTGGAGGGGTCCTGACTCAGAGACACCCTCCCGGACACAGCAGACCCATTCCCAAGAGTCAGCATCACAGAAGCAGACGCCACCTCTTTCCCCCACGCAGAGCAGCCGTGGGTCTGTAATCACTGACTCCTGACCCTCCTCAGCCACCCACTGTCTTTCTTGGTGCATTTGATCCGTAAACAAAGACCCCAGCCCACTGCCCTAAAGGGATGCCAAGCCTGCCGGACAAAGTAGAACTGGCCAGAGGGTTTCTAAGCCTGCACACCTTTTCCAGGGCAAACTGCCCAGCTTTCTCCCGAGGAGTGGATGGTGGTTTCGAACTGTTGACCTTGTGGTTGGCAGCCCGACTTGTAAGCCACTACAATGCCAGGGCTCCTTGAGGGCTCCTTAGGGATGGCTGTAAGTATTCTACATTCTGACAATAAAGGAAGGGGAAATAGAGGGGAGCCACTGGATACTGTCAAAGGTGATACAGAGCCATGCCTGGCTTTTTGTGGGTGATAGCCCCTCTAAATGCTTCCTGCTTGGACCTGGTGGATCTTCTTGGCGTTCACACCTGGCATGCTTGTAGGGGTTTGGAATGGAGTAGGACTGCCTTCTGGGACACACCTCCCCCTCCTGAGAGGAAGGACAATAGGAAACTGAGCAGCCACGTCTCACAAGCCCCGGGCCAGCACTGGACCCAGGCCCCCAGGCTTCTGAAGGTATGTAGAGACGCGCGCGCGGCCACTCTGGACAGTGCCTGGTGTTCTGGGCTTCAGGGTCTTTTCGCTCGTGACCGTTTCCTTTGTATTTTATTGACCCCAATGCAATGGGAGCCAGGGGCTCCCGCCCACCTGTGGGTGTGCCTCACGGTGGTGGCGCGCAGTGGGCGGTGACGGTGGGCGCACTGTCACCAGTGTGTATTTCAGAGACTAGCAGGGTGGCTGAGCGGGTTTTAGTAGTGTCCCGACAGACAGGGAAGAAACACCCTGCGGTCCTCCCATAGAAATGGCTGGTGACTGCCCTGTGGATGGCCAGGGACCACTGTCCAGCAGAGCGCTGAAGGTGAGCCCTGAGATCGGGAGACCCTCAGAATACAGCAGCCCCCGCAGGCCAAGAGCAGACCCGTGATGGTGAGGGTGGCCCAGGACCTGGCGAGTTGACCGGCCCGTGGGGCACACAGTCTCGGGGAGGACGGGTTGGCCAGGCAGCAACGGATATCAGTTCCTATGAGTTCTCAATGTCAAACATCAGTATGGAGGGGTTTCCAAAAAGTGAAATCCATCCCCGCCACAGTGGGAGCTCAGGCCCTTGGGCCCCCAGAGAAAGCAAACTCCGGGCGGCGTTATCGGCCCACATGCACATTTCTCTGCACTGTTCTCCCCGGTGCACCCCATGACACCTCCCCCTGGTAGCACCTGGGGTGCAGAGGCATGGGCCACCCCGAGGCCCGGCCCACCTGCCCAGGAGGCTCAAGGTGCTGGGCTGCTTTCAGAGCCTGGCTTGGCTGTGTACTACACAACAGCCAGGAGGCAGCGGTCGGCCCTGCCCGCCCATTCCACAGGATGCAGTCACCGGGGCTGCAGGCCAGCACTAGACAGCAGCCCTCTAGCTCCAACTAGAGTGTGGGCGGCACCTCTGGGGGCTGGCATGGATGCCCAGGCTAGACCCCCCAGATGCTGCAGGAGCTGGGCCACCCAGGACTCCGGTCTGGGGTCTCTGACTTCAGATGAGCTCTTTCAAGGGCTTTGTTTCAAGGTCGATAACCAAAACCGGGAAACAGCGCCAAGATACGCTTCCACGGACCCACGCATTCTTCCGTTCTCAGGAAACGGGGCCTTGGGGAACTTGGTTCAAAACCTGGAAGATTTCGGGAGAAAATGTGACACACACCCCCTCCCAACTAGCTTCCGGTGGCCCTCGGGGACCAGGCTTGGAGCTCCCTGAGGGTAGAGGAGGGAGAGAGGGAAGGAGTCAGGAGGCCACACCAGCTGGAGGCTGGTTTCAAGGCTGGGGGACTGGGAGGCACAGACAGACTGGCTCTGGACAACTGTCCCCCACCCTCACGGAGAGCTCCTGGCTCAGGTGGGTCTCAGGAAGGGAAGCCAGGCCTTTCAGTCCATCACAGCAGGGGGGCCCACAGGCAGGGACAGGACCAAGGGCCAGACACATGCACCACCTCCCCCAACTTGCCTGCTGGAGTATCGCAGACCCTTCCCCAACAAGCCCCAGGCACATCCTGGGGCTGAACCTCCGTTTATCTGTCAAAGACTCCACGACTTTCCACCCTGGGGTTCCACGCATCATCTGCGCACCGGACCACTCAGCGCCCCTCCATCCGGGTCCCAGGACGCCTAGACAACTCCCTACCCCCCACCCCCACCTGCCCTCACAGCCGAGGCCAGTCGGGATGGCTCTGGCTCCCAGTTAAATTTCTCCCGCCTGGATGATGTCACATCCGCCGCCGGCGGGCCCCTCCCGCGCGTGAGCGTGGCGCGCGGGTCCCTGGCGCACCCCCGCCCTCGCCCCTCCCCAGCAAACTTTTGGCACCCACCGTGGCCGCGAGCGCGCCTCGGTGCTGGGCGGGGACGGCGACGCGGGCGGATACATATGCCGCGCGGAGCCCGGGCCCGGCAGATGCCGCGCGCCGCCGGCTGCGGGTGCTGAGCTCAGGACACGCGCAGCCACGCGCCCGAGCCGCCGCCGCACACCGCGGGCCCTGCGTGCCAGGACGTCGGAGGTGGCCGCGAGACATGCCGCCGGCCCAGAAGCTGCTCAGCCTGCTGCTCCTCACCCTGATGGGCACCGAACTCACCCAAGTACGTGCACACAACGCCATTTTCCTCCAGTCGCCCGCGCCCAGGAGGGGAGCGGCCGGCGCCCGCCGTGCGCCCTGGCCTGGGGCTGGGGGCCGGCCGGAGCGGGGACAGGGGAGGGTGGGGTGCGCAGACCGCCTTGAGTCTGGTGCCGGGTCCAACGCAGCTGCCGGCTGCCCCTCTACTAAGGACCCCTGCCCCACCCCCACTCCCTAAAGGGAAGTTCCCCAGGGCAGCAGGAGGGGTCCCTTTAACTGGTCCTGTCATCTGGGGGTGGGGGGTGTCTCTCAGGGGTGGGGGGGATGGCCGATCCCCCCCACCCCACCCCAGCTCCACAATTTCAGAGGAGGACCAACCACCCAAGTCCCAGCAGCTCACCCACCTCTCCTCCAGAGCCAGTCCCTTTGCTGGACATCGCGCCGGGGAGCGGGGCTCAAGGAAGGCTGCTGGCCAGCAGGGCTTGTGGAGTGGGGAAGGGGAGGGGGGCCGCTGTCTGTCTGTCGCGTGGTGGGCTCCTGTGAGGGGCTTGGGTTTGGGGCCCATGCTCAGTGTGAATTGCGAGGGACATCTATCCAGCTGTGCATGCTGGTGCCTGCAGCCCGCTCTCTCGGTGGCCGGTCGTGTGCCCACAGAGTGCCAGTCACCTCTCTGCTTCTCGGGAGGGTGTTCTCCATTTTCAGTGCCCCTCAGAGCAGGCCAGCCCCGGGAGGCAGGGAGAAGCGGCCTTTGTGTGAGGGGCTTGGGACTGTTCCTTGGGCAGCAGGCTGCTGGACAAAGCCTGCCAGTTTTGGAGCCGGGCTGCCCAGGAGTGACATTAAAATGTCCTTTGCAGTGGCGCCACTGTGCCCTGATCTGAGCTGCGGGTCCAAGAGGAGCAAGGGCGGCCATCTGCCCCCAGCCCCTCCCTCCTTCCCTCCTTCCTTCCTCACCTCCTCCCCCAGCTATCCCTGCGCCCCTCCCTCTCCGCGTGCAAGAGGAAACAAAGGGGAGAAGACAGGGAACAGGCTCCCCTTGTTTTGCCTTGAAGCCCTTGCTGTGCCGGACCCTGAAGCGGGACCCCCAACCCCCGGGTCTGGAAGGGGCTCAGAGCCCCCTTCCCAGGCACTGTGAGTTCTCAGAGAGCGAGCAGGCACCCTCCTTACCACAGGGGAAGCCTGACTGAGGGTGGGGGCTGGGCTCCTGTGGACACACACACACACACACACAGGTACGAGTGAACATATGCAGCCAGGACTGGCCAGGGCCCCATTACCTGAACTGACCAGGACTCAGTGTGCCTCCTGGGGACATCTTGGCCAGGTGGGCGCTCGCTCATGCCTGCCCAGAATGGGTGGTCCTGGAAGGGGCTGCCTGAGGGTCCTCCAAGCCCTGAAGGCCTCCTAGCTAGCTGCCACTCACCCCGGAGGCTCTGCTCCCAACCTTCCCCGAGCAGTTCTGTCCCCCACCCTATACCCCCTCGGCCTTTTCAAGGGGCCCCCATTCTTAGGTGAAACTTTTGGTTCAACTTCAATCAGGCGCTTTGTCTGGGTGACCAAAGTGCTGAGCAAGTGCAGCTCAGCCAGCCTGGCACACAGGCCTTCTCAGCCTCCTGCCAGGGCTGCTGGCCACCTTCAGGACCCTGGCCAGCAGCCTGCCCTGGAGCCCTCGCCCGCTGAGCCCAGAGCTGTTCTTTAGGGTTCTGAATTGAGCCCCGATTTCCTGAGAATGTGCCCCTCCCTCTAGGGATAGATGACTCAATCAACTCGTGGGGGCTCAGAGACTTGGCTTCCAAAATCTCTCCGTGGGCGGCCTGTGAGCCCGAGGGGGTTGGCACGCTAGGGACACACTGGAGTGGGTATAACGGCCCCACCTGGTGGTTCCCAGTCCCCTCACTGAGTGGCCCTGCCATCCTGGTCCCACCCAATGGGTCCCACCGTCACGGGTCCGAGTGACTCTGATCTTTATCGGGGGCAGGGAGTAGTGTGGGGCCAGGGCTGGGCTCGGCTCTGAACTGAGAGCTACTTGCGATATTCAGACCCTAGGGCCTTGCCGGCAGGAGCCGGCCCCTTAGCACCAACTGCCCGGTCCCGAGCTGTGGAATCAAACACCCGCCCGGTGCCCAAGAGGGGCTGAGCCCCTTCTGCCTCCCCCACACCTGAAAGGACTTCCCAAGGGACATGGATGCCAGGTGCCAGGACCACTGTGTTTGTGGGCTTGTTGGCTGTGTTGGGAGGTGTTTGGAGACGTGGGCTTTCTACCTGTGCTGGCAGATGGTGGGGCGGGGTGGGGTGGGGTCACTCAGCAGGGCCATCTGTTCGCCCCCCAGCTCACTTACGCTGAGCCCGTCAATCATGGCCCAGCTGCTGATGGACAGCCCACGCCGAGAAGGCTCTCTGCCCACGTGCTCAGTCCTCAGTCGGAAGCAGGCTCCTCGTGGTCTTGCTCCAAGCTTGTCAACACAAGGCTGGCATCTTGTGCTCCGGGACGGGGGTGGGGATGGGGGTGGGGTGGCAGCCAGGGGTCTGGTGGTGTGGTGGGTTAAGCGGCACCCACCAGCTGCTCTGAGAGAAAAAGGTGAGGCAGGGAATGCATCCCCTGGAGGGTCCCTCAGTCCAAGCTAAGACCGTGGCAGTGGGTCTGTTTGTGGGGGCTGAGGGGTGGGGAAGGGAGCATGGTAACAAGCCCCCCAGCTGGGGTGCTGAAGTGTTCAGCTCTCAGCTTTAGGTTGAGGGAGGGGCATGGATGGGGCTGCCCGAGTGCTACATCCACTCTGCCTGCCTGCCTGCCCGCCCGGCCCCGCAGAGGCAGCAGCTGAGGGGGCAAGCCTCTGCTGCCCTGGGCAGGAAGCAGGAAGCAGGAGCCTGGACTCCACCGCCAGCCCCTCCAGGCCCCTCCGGGGTGATCTCAGCGCCTGAGCACCCACCTTTTTAACAGGGCTCTAGGTGGGTCTCTGGAGTAATTCTTGGCAGCAGCCCCCCAATGCTGTCCTAACGTCTGCTCACTCGTCTGTTTTGGTCTGCAAGCTTTTGTTTCCTGGACGCCAGCCAGCGGTGGCCACACTCGGGTGACTCCAGCCCGCCAGCGGTGGCCACACTCGGGTGACCCCAGCTCGCAGTGCGGACCAGGCCATATGGCATCTGGGCCGGTGTGTTCTGTGGGAGCCCTGGGGCTCCCTGTGTGCAGGGCTTAGGGCTGTCTGCACCTTGGGTTCTGAGACCAGGGCTCATCCTGCCCCTGGAGTTAGAGGAAGATTGGGGGAAAGGTGGCCTTTATGTGCTAGAAAGGTGCTAGATATCTTTGCTGCCTCTGTGTCCCCATGCAGGCTGGGGGCAGGCCCTGGGTGGGCTTAGAGCCGCAGACCAGGTCCCAAAGGTTGGCCACTGCATCTGGTGCTCAGTGAGCGAGCGAGGGGTGCTTGTGTCAGCCTGAACGGAGCTCTTCTGTCTGCCTTCCTGGGCCCCAGTCCCTGGAAGACCGTTCCTAGGGGCACCCCATGCAGGTTCCAGCTGGCAGCCAACAGAAATTTCCCTCCAAGCCCATGGCTGGGTGGCTGTTATTTGGCTCTCAAGAAGCATTATTGCGTGGCTTTGTTTTGTCATTGGTTGGCGTCCATTCCGACTCATAGTGACCCCATGCCCAACAGATGGGTCCCCCCACCCCCACCCGTGACCCGGCGCCGTCCTCACCACTGTCCTGTGTGGCTCCATTGCTCCGCGTGTCAGGCCAGCTCCTGGAGGGTACTCCCCCTCGCTGCCCACTCTCTAGAGAAGGGCCCCTCCCGCCCAGTCTGGTGGCACAGTGGGGCAAGCACTCGTCTGCCAGCCGAAGGGGCACTGGTTCAAATCCCCCAGCTGCCCCTCAGGAGAAAGCCAGGGAACCCAGAAAAACACTGTGGGGTGGAATCCGTCTGTCTTAAAGGAGCCCTGGTGGTGCTGTGGTTACATGCTGGTCTGCTAACCAACCGTAAGGTCAGCAGTTTGAAATCGCCAGTCGCTCTGCGGGAGCAAGACAAGGCTTTCTGCTCCCCTAAAGAGTCCCGGCCTCAGAAGCCCCCTGGGGAGCTTCTGCCTGTCCTCTGGGGTCAATGTGCATGAGAATCAACACCATGCTGCCAGCAGCAGCAGTGAGCTCAGCCTGTGGGCCGATCTAGCTGTTCCTGCAGAGGGCTGAGCCGCGGCTGGGCTGCTGGTGCCGTGTGCGGATGATGATGTGGTCAGGGGTCCCGGGGCAGGTGACCCAGGCTCCCCCTGCAGTGAGGCCCAGGGCGTCAAATCTCTTCTCATCCTGGAGTTAGCTAGTTTCTAGCTGAAGACCTCCATCCACTCCCTGGAGCAAATTCAGTGAGAATAAAAACCTAAATATTTCCCAGGCAAGACAAATGGTGGCGCTGCCAGTCTGTGCCTGGGCCACCTGCCTGTGTGCCTTCTGTGCCCCCACCGTCAGCCAGCATCGGTGTGGCGCGCTGGGGTGGTGAAGCCACTGCAGAATGGGGTGGTGGCTGGTGTGGGGTCAGGGTCTCTTGGGGTGCCTAGGATAATGGGGTGGTGGCTGGTCTGGGGGCAGGGTCCCTTGGGGTGCCTAGGACATGCTCCCGTCTGAGCCTGGAGGTGGCCCTATGGAGCCACTGGTCCCATGGAGTGGCAGGAAGCCACTTGGCTACCGGCCTGCACCCTTCCCTCTGGAGGACGTCTGTGGCACCAGGGGAGGTGGGGAAAGGGGGGAGTGCTCTACCTCTGCCACGAGGCTTTCATCGTGTGAAGCCTGGAGTGGCTCCTTCCTCTGGCCCCCCGCCCCCCAGGACACAGGACACAGGGAGGCAGTTTTCCACCCGGGCTTGTCTTCATGACTCCACTTATCAGGCCCATCATCAGTACTAACATCACCGTGGAAAGTCATACAAAACCAATTACTGGCTAAACAGCGTGAGAGGCGTGGCTGGCGGGCGCCGGTGGGCGGCAGCGTGCGCAGCCTGTTGTTTTCTGCTGCTGTCGGCCACCCCACTGTCGGCCACCCCACGGGCAGGA